GCCATTCAATTTAACTAAATAAAAACTAGTTTTACGCGACGATCAGCCGAACCGTTTTCTTTATATTGAGCAGAGAAATCTACGTGATTTAGCTAAAAATTCTAAATCGGTTACAAACTTTTATATGATATTGGTTGGGAATCACTGACTAGTTTTTACTGAAGGTTGTTCGAGTCGTTTCTTCTTCTTCATAATTGTTTTAAAAATTTTTTTGGGCGACTTTAATGAAACTTTGAATAGCAATAGCGTTCATGATCTTGAACATATTAAAATAGAGGCCTATGAAAATTTTGTTTTCGATATACAAAAGTTTTTTCTTGCTTAAAAGAAATTGAAAAAAAAAATTAGAAACAAAAAATTTTTTTTCCCAAAAGCAATTATTTTGTTACAAGCAGAAAGTTCTTTGAAACATTCAAATCGGTTGCTTTCTCAAAAACTGCCATTTTTTGCACATTTAGCTTGGTATCTCCGAAACGACTAGACCTGCCTTTGTCAAAAAATAATCACCACTTTTCCCCGTCATTACGAATTGAATGCTTTTTGCATCATTCAAATCAGATGCCCCGTTCTCTCAAAACTCGATTTTTATTTTCTACACTCTTTGCTCCGTAGCTCCAAAACGGCTGGACCTCTCTCTGCCAAAAACTAATCAGCACATCTCCCTATCAATAGAAATCGAGTATCTTTTAAAACCATTCAAATCTGTTGATCTGTGCGCCCAAAAACGTGGAAGAAAAATTGTATCCATACATACATACATACACACACACATCCATTTTTTCTGAGGTATGCCAAAATGTTCAAAAACCTTCAAAACGTGAAGAAATGTTAAAATTTTCAATTTCGATTTTTAGACGATTACAATAACTTACCCTACGGGAAGTTAAAAAACGAATATACATAAAAAACAATGTTTTGATAACAATATCATTGATAACACAAAAGTGAAGTTAGGTTTTATGCGTAAAACGCCTGATCGCACAGCAAATACATAGCATTATGACAGTTTTTACTACTAATTAATATGAAGAAACAACCGTAACATAGCGTTCCCGGAACATTTCTATTTTATAGAAGTATTGGTCCCCTAGTTTCATACTTTATTTAAAAATTTAATAGTGAGTAGAGAGCACGTCAAAAATTTTTGTTTGCCAAAATTTAAATAAAGTTTCACAATATTTAAATTGAGCTTCGTCAGGTGGCGGTTTATGAGAACAAAACTCATTACTACTTTACGTTTAAAATTTGAAAAATAAATTTTTCATTATCATTACATTAGGTTTCTGATGTACTTTTTTACAATATTTGTTTGCAAGAAGGATGAATATATAAAGAACTCAAAATTCATACATACACCAGCAGCCGTATCCATTACGAGAACAGTACGAGATGAATATTTTATGCTTACTATGTAAGCGCATAATCTTTTAGTAGCTTTTGTTCATAAACTTGATATTTATTCATTGCAGCAAAAGTAAAAAGAACAACTCTTAAGTAAAGCGTTTCTATGAAGTATTTTAATACAATATAAATGAAAAGAGCCATTTGAAATTTTTAAATTGGATATGCTATGATGGTAAACTATCTTTTGTGAAAAAGATTTTCTTAGCATGATCATAATGGTTCAGAATATATCAGGAATAGAAAGTTGATTTAAAATTTTGTGTTTCTAAATATATAATGACTGAATTTGTATTGTTTTTTGTTTTTTTTTAATTATTTATGTTTTTTGAAAGTGAAATAAGTGCTAAATTAATTGATTATATAAAATATTTTATACGATTTATTCATAAATGCTATTGTTAATAAATTAAAGTAACTGTTTTTTAATTTGTTGATCGTGATGATAAAGTCCCTAAAATTCAATAAGATCAAAAAACAACCTAAAGATCAAGAAAGAGTTAGAAAAAAATAAGTTTCAGTTATATGTAATAATGACCTTTTTTTTGTTAATAATTTTTTATTAATGGAAGATAAAAGCTCTATATAATGAAGTGTTTATTTACAATTTGTACAAAAGAACTACTGCGATTAAATTAAAGTAATTAAAAATCAATTTGATCGTAATGATAATGCACTTAAAATAAAATAAGATGGAAAAACTATTTTAAGATCAATTTTGTATCTATATTTAGTGGTACATGACATCGTGTCTTAAGGCAAATTGCTGAAACTTCCCGTACCGAAAATTATTTATTTAAATTTTAAAAACTCAATTTTTTTTAATTTTCAAAAAATTAGTTCAGATTGAGAATTTGAGAAATTTGATTTTTTACATTCTGAAGTTTTTTGAACATTTTTAAGTCTTTCTCAAAGCAAGCGCGCTCTGTGGCTGTTTCAAACACGAATATCGAAGCGCGCAAGCGCTGCGATGTAGTCTTAACGCTTCATTATAAATCTTTTCACATAAATGTGAACAAAATGTGCACTTCTTATTAAAATCTTTATAAAAAAATATCTGATAATTTGATGCGCATGCGTCTAGTGATCATTTTTGACCACCAAATGCTTTTTTAGACATTTTTAATGGATCTTCGAATTTGCTAGTCCTGCCTTCTGCAAAATTAATCAATTCTTCATATTGTCAATACAAGAAAACGTTTCTTGAATTTAATAAAATAGGACGCTCCGTTCTCTTTTAAAAACTGAATTACCATTTTTGCATTTTTTGGCCCGTATCTTTAAAACGACTGGACTAGGCTAAAATTAATCTTCTTAACAATGGGAATCGAATGTTTTTTTTAATAATTTAAATCGGTTGATCCGTGTGTTTGAAATCGTCGACGCAAAATTGTATCCGCACATACATACAGAACACAAAAACACACATCAATTTTTGTAAGGTATGCCAAAAAAAATCAGAAACCTTTGGAACGTAAAGATATTTAACAATTTTCGTTTTCGGTTTTTTAGCAATTACTATTACTTGCACTACGCGAAGTTAAAAAGTTTTATAGGATATATGTAAAGATAGTATAGAATATAAAAAGGAAATGCTGTAGGTGGTTAAATGCTCTTAGTAAGCGAGGCCAATAAAAATTTAAAAAAAAATAGTAAAATATGTTCGCCTGGCATGTAAGATCCAAACGAATACGATTTCTTTACTTTTAATAGATAATTATCATCGTATCTGCAGAAGTTATGAAACAGTGCAGTTTATGTATATTTACCAAACTTTTTTTTTCTTAAATTACAATCTGTCTAAATAGAAAGACATTGAGTAATTAGTTTGACAAATACATTTTAAATTTCAAAAGGAAAACCAGCGGTTCACCTTTTATTGATGTACTAAATTATATTTTAAATTTGGTAAATAAAGAAAAAAAAAAAAACTCAAATACACATACAATTATAAACAAAGTACATTACACAGACTACATATACACATGCATACACACACCTATTTTAAATAATATGGTAGAACAACTTAATATTGATTAATGTGTTAGATCTATTAATTGTATTCTTTTTAATCTTATATTATGTGTGGTATTGTAAAGACTTGCTATCAGTTCGTTTGGATGGTATCTTTA